TTAATTTACAGTTGCTGCTGAGAGGGCATCATACAGTTTTGATGTTGCATCACTTAGTAATTCATCAGCTGTTTTCAAGTCTGCTCTTACTACTTCTTCCTCTTTCATTAGGGCATCCTCGCACTTTTGAAAGGGACTGTCTGGATTCAGATATCTCCTTTTTACCTTTTTGTATTTTTTGGCTTCCTTCTTTTCATCTTCTTGTTTTTCTTTCTCTAGTCTGGCTTTATACGCATCATAAGCTGACCATACAGATTGCTTTTTTTGTGCTTGCAATATTTGCAGGTTGACCACTCACAGGATCATTAAATCTGACTGCCTCTGTTACAGCACGCAGACCTCTGATAGTCACTTTTCCTAGTGCTGATCTGTCACTGGTGATGACTCTTGCATTTATTGAAAGACTTCTCTCAGTCACCATTTGGCTGGGCCACATCTTGGTCTGCTTGCTGCAATTTCCACTTATCTACAACGGATGTTATATCTATTTGACGTTGCACATTCCTTGTAAGACTCTGAATGGATGCATCTGTGATTTCCAATTCCTTTTGAGGGGATTTAGGCAACCAAGGTCTCTCAATAGCTTATTGCCTGGGGGTAACCTTAACTGAAGATAGGATCCAGTGGCTGAGTAAAATACTCTAATACCGAGAATAACCAACTTCTGTTTTGCTGGATTTAAGCATGCCAAGGCCTTGCTGGTTTGATCATCAATAACAAGTTCATTGTCAGTTAGTTGTAACGTGACATCTTCACAAGGAACAGAACCAAGTGCAGCACCATATTTGCCTTGCAGTGTTTTCCACAGCAAAACATACACTAATGGTTTTCTGTTAAACGGGTCAAATGCACGCCTACCAAACGGGTTACAAATAGCTTACTTTCCCGTTCGAGCGGGTCCATGAAACGGTTCTGTGGGTTTTTTAAGTATTGTGAATGGCTAAAACGAATGAACAAACGCCTTACTCACCCATTCGCATGGGTTCATCAAACAACTAAATGGGTCATTAAGTTTTTGGAACGGTGAACACAAACGGGTGAATGGCTTACTTACCCAGTCCAACAGCTCATCAATATTTCCACACTTACTGAGCGGCTTAGGAAAATTTTTGGCCTTTGCGAAAATGTACACGAACGATTATTTCTCAAAATGGCCGCATTTCACAACAGGCCATCCAGTTTCGTTGTAAATAAATCCTGAAAATGCTTATATAGTTCTTTTAGTATTATTTAACGATTAGACCTGTGGCCCTTGAGGGTGAAGGGTCTAAATTATTGTTTTAGTATCACCCAACTAGTCGGGCAGAAAAGGCAATAATAAAGTTGGAAAATGCAAGTTGAAGAAATATTTATTTGGAAATAAAACGAAAGAAAGCATCGCGCTTGATTGTGCCAAATTTGCCTAAACTTACGTAACTGTCACGTTTTTTAAACACGTGATACAAAAGTACAGCTAATGAAAATTCATTCATTCATTCATTCAGATGTGAAGTTGGTGAAAATCCAACCAAAACTGTTCAGTAAAAAAAGAAAACCTTTAAAATAGTGCAATGACCCACAATACTTTTATGAACTGCAAGGAAAGCTCAAGTGAACTAGTGAACTATATCAAGTTGGTGATTGATAATTGGGCCAAGTTTTCAACAGTTTGTCGATTTTTAGTTCATCGCATGTAGTTATTGTTTATAATGGAAACAGAGCAGCCATGAAAGCTGAAAGACTGTGGCATTTGCATTTTCACTGTTGACTGTTGATCCTGTGGAGCCACAGAAAGAGTGCTTGCTCCAATGAGCTCTTTCGATGTTGAAGTACCCTCGAGTACAAGAACTTGTAGTTCTGCGCAGTCACCAGACGTGAAGTCGCTGAATATGTTAGACATGTTTTCTTTCTGCTAAAAGGAAGCCCTGGGACAGTGAGACCACTTTTTTTCATTCCAGAATACATTTGAAAAGTCAAGATGACATTGAGTTACCTATCAATTATTTTGTTGGAATGACAAATCAACTGGGAAGCTTTCTGGACCAGGAGAACTAACACGTCATTGTGCAACTCCTCGATGTGACAGTAAGAAATATTAAATTTGGAATTACTGCATTCCAAAACTTTCTTGTCCAAAAATTTGTGTTTGTGAATACTTGAATTCTCTTTCATTGATAGCATTTTCAATTATCAATCTATTGAACAGGCTTCTTGGTACCAGTCACATTGGAGGATAAAGGTTTGGGTGGTGCAATAAAGTTAAATATAATGTGCAATGGCTGCGGAGCAAGGATTCATTACGCAAGCAGCATGGCCAGCCTATCTCAACGAAGAAGGAACTGTGTGTCTCTTGCCTTAGGTCTGTGCTTCCTTATCTGGGGACACGGTTACCCTTCTTATCATAAAATTTTAAAGTTACGTTTGGGAATTCATACCCTCACTTACATCAATTTTTATAAGGTAGTTAAACTAGCCCATGCATCTGTGAAAGCTGTTTTGGATGAGATTTGTGACATGGGCAAAAGTGAAATGAAGGTCAAAACCCCTCCAGAGCGTGGCAGCTGGAAGAATGCTGTTACTACTTCTGACAGCTGCTAGCTAATTAGGTGACATCACAGCCAATGCTGCACTTTTGTCATTATTAATTTCTTAACTGGCTGTACATTGTATTATGGTCATGCATGCATGAGGGGCTCAAGTAATACATGTGATTCAGACCTTTGGGAGGGAACAGCAAAAGCTGCAGAGGGTCATCTGGCTGAGGTCTGTTTTACAAAAGCTAAGGAGGAGGGAATGGTTATTGCCATCAATTGGCAAGATGCAGACTCCTCGTCAGCAAAATCATTTCGTTATGTGTTCCCTGATAGCTCCCTGAGCTGTGTCATGCTTTGTGGAGGTCAAGTGGGTCGTTTACATGCCAACAATCTTAAAGACTACAAAGGAAAGAAATCTGTAGACTTGTCTTTTGTGGCCACTCACAAGAAGAATTATCCTGAGCTGGAAACAGCAAAATGTGAGAGCCCACTCGAAAACCTGTGGTTGCATGTCAGATGAATTTCTGGGTAGGGCCAAAAGCAACCACTTTTCAGCCCTGAAGCAAAGTGGGAATGACCCAGAGGAATATGCCAGTCGTATGCGTATTCTGGGGAAATATCATTTCCGTGACATTCACGAGTGGACTGGAGGTGATGGCAAAACCTACAGATGCCCTTGGCACCCCATCCATGTTTGTTCCAGTGGCAACTGTGATGGGAAGGAGAGGCAGATAGATAGTGTTGACAGTGAAGACAGTGAAGCAGGTAGCAGGGTGTCAGGAAGGCAGGTAGTTCAGGATAAGACCTCGGAGGACAGTGACGATAGTGATAGTGGAGATAGTGAAGGTAGTGAAGATAGTGAAGACAGTGATGGGGATTACAATACCAACTTTACTTGTGAGGGTAGACCATACAAGGTCAGAGGAAGGGCATTAACATGTGACCTCCACAGCCTTCTCTATGAGATTGAATGCAATCGGATTGCAGAGAAGGCAAATGAGGTCATAGATCCAGTGATGGGCAAGGATCATTCTAATTTACCAGAAAGTAAATTTAGTGTCCTCACGAAGTTCAGGCCTAAGGACACCAATCTCCACCAGATGCACTATGAGGTGTCAACTATGGGTCTTTGTCAAAGCAACATGACATACCTCATCAAGTGCAAAGGCTCTACGTATCACTGGGTTCTTGAACTTTTTGGACGAATGGGCTTGCCACAAATTCATGGCATAGAGGAAATTATTTCCAAAGAAAACTCGGAGAGAATGAAAAGACTTAATTACCACAAACAAATCACACAAAGAGGAAATAAGTGGCATTCAAGCAAAGGCATCAACAAGAACAGAAAAAAATGTACTAGATTGAAATAATAAAAATTGTAACAAGCATACTCTTGTGGCATTCAAATTGGCTTTATTTCACCAGCCTCTAGCTAAACCAGATGTATTTCTTATTTACTTTTTGTATTTGACTGAAGACAGACTTTTTTTTGTATAACTTGCACTTTGTTTCAAAAACAGAAAATAATAATAATAATGATAATAATAATAATAATAAGAGGGAGGAAATAAGCTTCAAAGCCAGTCTCTAGTTAAGCACTCAAAGTGGCAGCTTTCAGTTTACTTCTATAGCTGAAAATTCACCTAATTGACGTGGTTGGTAAAACCAATTGTGTGTTTCACTCTCACAGATGACAATATTTCTTTACAAACTGTCTCTTCACTATTGTGAAATAAGCATATGATACCTCCTGAGAACGGTAAATAAAGGGTCACTGTCACAGTTCAAGTCATTTGATTGGAATTTTGTGTTTTTTAAAGATTTTAATTCCACAAGTACTCAACTATTTTATCAGGCGCCAATTTACTAAGAGACAGAGGATAATTCACACATATGGCATTGATGATGAAGAAGTTGACTTGGATGAAGATACAGCTTTGGCTGCTGTTTGTCAAAGACGTAGTGCAACAAGACAGGAATCGGCAACCAGAGAGGCATCAAGACATTCGACACAAACAAAAACCTGTGTTTGTGGTGGCAAAGACTATAGGCGTCGCTCCAGTTCATTATGCCCATTGAATAAGAGACATGTGTAAGAGAGTTTTGTGGAATACTGAATGGATGAAAGGGGCTACTTAGAAATGGAAGTTGGAAATGGTCTAATGTGCTAGGATGAAGAGCAAGATAAAAATAAGGCAATGTAAAAGTTTCTACTTAGGTATAGTCAAAACAATGCTACTAGAACTGTCTGCCATTATTAAGGCAGAAAGATTTGACAAAACTTGATATGAAATATAATTTGCAGTATCAGTGTAAAAGAAAGTGGCAGAAGGGCCATGTTTCAAGTTTTGTGCCTAGGGTTATAATTTAAAAAATAATTTTAGCTAGCCAAATAGGAGTAATATCTTCTTGTCTTTGGTCTTGTTGACATGTCGTAGATTAATAATTGTAATTGCAGTATTATTGCAATTCAAGTTCTGACCCAGTTTGTGGATTCTCTATTACAAATAATATTTTGATTCTTTCTTTCTTACATACCTGTAAGGAAATTTACATACTATTGTTGATACTGACTGGAACAGATGGTTAGGTATCAATCTGTCAAGTCTTTATGTTTGTGGAGATATAAAATTTAGGTCATGACCGCTCCAACAAATGCAAATAATCTAAAATTGGGATTATCGCCTTTCATGTCTTTACTGCATCTCTAGATATTATAAGTAGAACTTTGATAATTTGAAGTCCCTAAGGATTGCCTGTGGTCTAGATTTCAGTACATTTACGGCCCAAGTAAACTTAAGCCCCGCTAATTTGGACAGTTTGTGCCTCTCACGGCTACCATTAGTTCACTGTACACTGAAATTCATGTACTAATTAAGGGGTGGGGGGAATCCATGTGGGTGACTTTTTTGAAGGTATGGGTGACTAATGTAATTTTAATGTCTTTTACCCAGTAGGGTGTGTATGGTCAGTCACAGTTGTCAATAATTTATAACACAATAGGATATGAACTTACAATATTGTCTAGTCCCCACTATTACACATGAAACAAGACCTTCATTACACATTGCAAAATTGTATTTATTTGTGTTGCATTTTCTTAGTAGAAAACAGTGCTCACTAAAAAAATTAAAAAATGATTTTTTTCTTGGACTCCTATGTCCACTTTCATGAGATCTCCAAAAAGAGTTATTTTTCTAAAATTGAGACTAATTTCAAAATAAATTGTGCATTTTAGCTAATAGTTATTTTCTGTAAAAAAAAGGATATTAAAAATTATTTATTTGCAATCAGGTGGAAGTGGCTTTCCTAATTTTTTTGTAATTACTCTTTTTTTGGTCTCTTGGCTGCTGGTGAGCTAGGGCCATCTTGGGCTTGCTGCAAAAAAAGGAGAGAGAAAATGAACACAAGGAAATGGTAAAAAAAAAATAAGACAAGACCCAGTCCTGCTAAAGGAGGATTTGGACTCTTGTTAGGGTAATCATGTCATTCAAATATAGGACTAATGTACATTTCACATCTTCCATTTTGATTGTCTCTACTATTAAAGAGATATTAGTAATATTACTCTTGCTGTAAAAAATGCCGTCAAGCAATGGCCATTCCTGCCTTGCTCATCTTTTTTCTGGATGAACTACCAGGTCCATGGCACCAAACAGATATGGGTCAATAACCCATTAAGCTTTATCTTATAGAATACCGAGCCATTCCCCGCGAAGGCTATAGATTAAGTAAGCCAAAAGTGGTTTGCTGAACACTCCACCTATGGAAAAAGTGCTTACCTGTAAGTCATTCCTCAGATCAGCCTCCTTGTAAACTTTGATGAGCTCCTCCAGAGGTACTTCGTAGAAGCCCTTTCTCTATGACAGAAACAAAGTCTTAAAATCTTACTCTAGTTTCTTGGCACAAGTTGAATAATTTTTCTTACCTTTTTACTCTTGGGTGTATAATTTTTTATATCCCCAGGATATAGTTGACGAATAGTGTCAACTATTTCTGGGGGATATATGAGGGATGACCCATCTCCTATGCCATTTTGATGCTGGAAAAGGAAAAGAAAGATACATTTCAGTATGCTAAGTGTTTGGTATTTATGTAGAGACAAGTGTTTAGGATTGGTTACTAATCACCAAATCTAAAGATTCTCATTACTGCAGTGATCAGCTTCAGTCACTACATAAACCTATGAAGATGTAGACCCTACTTCCTTGAGTGAGGACAGTAGTGGGCTACTAAATAACACAACGAATTGTTTACACTACTCTTTGCTCCATAGTGGAAAAAACAGTTTATAACAAAAGAATAAGCCCATTTCTAAACTGACAAAGGTCGACCGAGATGAATAATAGATAAACTTACTCGGTAGAGATTCTCAGGGTAAAGTCTGGGCGGTCAGAATGTCGAAAGAGAGAAAAAAATGGAAGCAGAATGTTATATTATGTTCCTGATTTGGATCGAAAAGCCACAAACTTGGCATTCTTTCGCAATTTGCAACTGCACGGAGTGCTGATCAAACGGAGCACACGTGGAACGCAGTTGTGAATTTCACACCTTCCGTACATGTATATTCTTCTATACTCCCAACCGAATGCTTTATTCCGCTGTTGATTTCAATTTGACTGCAGTTATAGTTAAAGTTATAAATGACATCACTGATTCTAACGAAAATCAGACCATCATTTTAAAGACATGGTTTCAAGATTACCTACCGCTAAAAACGTAAACATTTCCCTGTAAATATATGATCGGAGTTCTTTGTTATGGGTCTTCCCTGATAAAGACCTTGCATTGACTAGCAGGTCTCTCAGGGTTACAGGTAACTCAAGACTGGAAAAGAAAAGAAAAACGTATTGAAATATTTAAAAAAATGTAGAAGACGAAAGAATAGTTCCTAAAATAGTTGGATAAACTGAAATCAAGAGCCTTACCCGCGTTCATGCAAAAGGTTTGACAGACTTCCTATGGCTTCTGCGTTAATTTCCATGATCTGTTTTGGAAAACACGAAAGTTTGGATCATAAAAAGCTTAAAAACAAAAGAAAAAATGGGAGAACTTACAAAAAAGATGAACATGGCTTACCTTGTCGTTCCAATTCACTGATGAAGTCTGCGAGATCAGCATGCGAGATATCACGAAGAACTCGAACAGAGATTCAACGAGCATGCGAACAGTTACCACTGTGCAATTATGCAACTGCAAATCCAATATGGTGTCATAAAATGGCGCACTTGACAACAAAATTTAACCTTCAAAAGGAGCGCAGGGAAGAATCTCATCTTTTGGAGTTCGTTATTATTACTTTGAATCTTTCATATAACTTAAAATGAAGGTAAGTTTTTTTTTTCACGTTTTAGCCAGATGAAAGACCTTAAAGGTTAAGGCACTGTGGGAACGAGGCTGAGTTGTTTTGGTTGTGAAAATAAACATGGCAGACACTTTACTCCTTTCAAGAGTAAAAACTACAGCTGGAAGTAGGCGTAATAATAGCAAAAAACATGGCAAAAACAGCAAGAAGACAACTCGGAGGGTGACATCTGCAATTTGGAGAATATTTGCAAAGCTGGACAAACCTAAAGGTACACTATCGAAGATGAACTTAACATCAATGCAGGTAAGCATGTTTTAGTTATGTTTTTAAACTAAGAATTATTTTGAATGAATAATAAAGCAATTAATGAATTCGGCTTTCGTAGGATATGAAGAATTAAGCAGATAGAGGAGGGTGTTATCCACCAAAGGATCCACCCAGGGTTGTCATTTAGAGCCAGGGGCCGGAGATTTTCCCCGGCTACTAAGAGAGTGGCCCCCAGCTACTTTTATTGGAAAATAGAAGAAAATAGAACCAAAAGAAATCCCTAGCCGTTTGATTCCCCGCCTCCTTGTTGCATTTACCCGGAAACTTGAAATCTTAGTGACAACCCTGATAACCAGTTACTTACAGACCAAATTTGGAAGAATTTTGTGTTCAATGAGGAAATGATGTCAAAAATGCAGCCTTCTACAGGTTAATGCACCGTTAACCGAGAAGACCTGGGGACGAGATTGAGTTGTTTTCGTTGTAAAAACTTAAATGGTGGACACTTCACTCATTTCAAGAGTAAGAACTAAAGCTGGAACTAGGCGAAATAATGGCTAAAAACATAGCAAAAACAGCAAGAAGACAACTTGGAGGGCGACATCTGCTATTTGGAGAATATTTGCGGAGCTACACAAACCTCGGAGGGTGTTATCTGATAACACCCTCCTCAATCTCCATAATTCTTCATAAGATACTCAGCCTCATTTATTGTTAAATATCATCCTCAGCACTCCCAGCACCCTCGTGAAGTCACTAACCCCCCACCTACCCACTCTAATCACCCCTCCCTGTAAACACACTCCCTTAAATTGCAATTACTACCACTAAATAAACTATGGCCATGTTAAAGTTGTTTCATTTTTTTATTTGCATACATTCACGTTACACATGTAAAAAAAAAAGGGACTGGTGGCTTTGCTCCTGGGAGCAATAAAATTTTAAGCGGACAGTTCCTTTGCAAGACAACCTCAAGCACTGCCCACCTAATCGTTTAACATGAAGTTTTACATATGACTTGCATATTTTCGCTCTGGGTTCCACAAATGTCCTTGCTTTCAAAACAAAGTTGGTTATTCTCAATGTTAACTCTTAATCTGACAAGCACAGATTATTCCGCGCATATGACGTCATGGACAAAACTTGCCTCTAACATGAACGAAATTGCTCTCAAGGAAGTTTTCACCCTCGTTTTGATGTTTGAGGTTGTTTTCGAGTCTTCTGAATTTTTGTCACGTAGTTCTCTTTGATATATCGCTTGAATTTACTGGTTTTTCTTCGATTTAAATGCCCGGAAGGATATTTAAAAATTGCGTAGGTAAATCAATCTTTACATTTCAACCTACCACTGAGTCATTTTTCGCTCAAAATTGCTAAAACATCAGCAGGGGGATAACAACATGGCTGGGAGAAGAACCAGACATTACACTGCGGAAGAAGTTCACAGGATTGTCATGGATGTTCCTGATGATAGTGATGTCTCTGACTTTGAAGGTGAAGATGGAGATGATGCGAGTGAATATGTTTGAGCCTGGCTCGGACTCTGATGATTCAGACAATTTGGAAAGGGCTATTGAGCAGGAAGATAATTCACTAGATCAGTCAAGTGACGGTGAAGGTCAAGCACGGCGCAATGAAACAACATCCACTAAAGGAAGATCAAGTGGAAGAAGCCGAGGAAGGCCACGTGGAGGAAGGGTGACTGGAACCACTACAAGAAGGGTGCTATCATGATCCCCGGTATCAATGCAGAAGTTTCAACAGTAAGGTGGGGAAATCTTGATGAGGATGTTGTTGTTTCATTTCCTGATTTTAGAGGACAACATGGTCCTGTCACCCTTCACGTTACCGAGTCTGAGCCATATGATTTTTTCAGTCTTTTATTTCCAGAAGATCTCTGGGATGTTTTAGTGGAACAAACTAACATTTATGTTGCTCGGAAACAGAGAAAATCTTGGTTCAATGATACCAATAAAGATGAAATTAAAGCATTTGTTGGAGCACTATTTTTTATGGCTGTACCCAGGATACCTAATTTTGATCACTACTTTTCTCGTGATTGGGTTTTTGCTGTTCCCGCAATACAAAATGTTTTTACCAGAAACAGATTCTGGCAACTGTGGTAGAATTTTCATTTGGCTGACAATTCATGACAACCTGCTCCTACCACTGAGGGCTATGATAAGCTGTACAAAATAATTACGGCCAATGATCAATGTCATGAGAGAAAAATTTAAACAAGCTTACAATATTGGCCAGCACATTTGTGTCGATGAACATATGGTAAAAGGAAAAGGAAAAAATCCTTTCAAGCAATATCTTCCTATGAAACCGATCAAAAAGAGCACCAAAACCTGAGAATTGGTTTGTTCATGCTGTGGATATCTGTATGATTTTCAAGTGTGTACAGGGAAAAGTGGTGGAAATTCTGAGAGAGGCTTAGCACATCGAGTTGTTACGGACCCTGTTATGCAGCTTCATGACAAAGAAACTGTAGTGTACATTGACAACTTCTTTACCAGCATTCCCCATTGCAAGAGCTGAAGGAGTCATCAATCAATGTTGTGGGGACAATAAAAACAAACCGCAAAGAATACCCAAAGGCTTTGCAGAATAAATCGGGATGAATCGGGATGATTTTCACACTGTGGCATTCAAAACAACAGTTTGCACAGTGTGGAAAGACACAAAACATGTCTCTTTCCTATCAAATATGATTCTGTCAATCTCGTTGAGTTGGGGCTTCTCAAGTTTGGAAGATGCCACCACTGTTGCATCAGTGTAAAAGGAGCAAAGCGCAAAGAAACTGGATTTGGCTGCAGAACCTGTGTTAAGCATTTATGTCATTCTGGTTGTCATGAACAATACCACAGGCAGAAAAATATCTTTTAAACATTGCAGCCAATTATATTTTGTATAAAATGAAAGAGTTTTTCGATTTTCCTCATAAGTTTGTGGTGTTTTATGGCAACTTGTCAGGCGACAAAGGAAAAAACTACCTTAATAATGCAAATTTATCGAATAATTAGCATAATTTATGTAGAAATATGGAATACTATGATCCATCAGCTAGAAAATTAAATTAGCTTTAAAATGGTATATTACAAGCCATATATTTAGTTTCAATCCTGGGTTTAGATGATTTTTTTTTGAGTGACCTCAAAATTGCTATTTTTACTCAGAGAGTTCTGTCGTTAAAGCAGCTTCCCAATGCAATTAACAGGGTGAATTGACTTTCGCAGCTTTCGGGAAATTCGGCGAACCCCCGGGGTTGCATTGCAGACACTCGGCAGCGCTTCACAATAACCCTTCATAAAATGACCGCGACCAACAAGCGTAATGACTAGATAAAATTAAGCATTAAACAATCTCTGAGCAGCAAAAAGACAATAAGTCCTCTAAACATACCTTTATGTTCATTTTACATAAGAACATTCCGTCACTTTGAAAAACCACAACCAGCGACTCAGCTGAACAACGAACCAGGTTTGTGTTCAAATCACCCTACAAAATAAAGGTTAAATTCCACTCACCATCAATGAATGTTTGCTTTCCTCGGTAGAATCGGCCTCGTGTAAGCGCTCCGTTCAGGAACGATTTCAGAATCTCGAGTAGGGCAAGTTTCATGGAACAGCGCGCACCAAGTCACTCAGATGTTCGGTGTGGTGGCGTGTGTTTAGGTAGTCACTTGAAGGGCAAGTAATTCATGGCAGTCTCCATATAGACTCCCTAATATATTAGTGCAATATTGTATACCCCTATATATCCTGTGTACCCATGTTTACCCTTGTAATACTGTATACCCTGTATACCCCTATATACGTTGTGTACCCATGTTTACCCGAGTAATACTGTATACCCTGTATACCCCTATATACCTTGTGCACCCATGTTTACCCTAGTAATACTGTATACCCTGTATACCCCTATATATCTTGTGTACCCATGTTTACCCTAAAAATACTGTATACCCTGTATACCCCTATATACCTTGTGCACCCACGTTTACCCTAGTAATACTGTATACCCAGAATACCCCTATATACCTTGTGCACCCATGTTTACCCTAATAGTACTGTATACCCTGTATACCCCTATATACCTTGTGCACCCACGTTTACCCTAGTAATACTGTATACCCTGCATACCCATATATACCTTGTGCACCCATGTTTACCCTAATAGTACTGTATACCCTGTATACCCCTATATACCTTGTGTACCCATGTTTACCCTAGTAATACTGTATACCCTGTATACCCCTATATATCTTGTGTACCCATGTTTACCCTAATAGTACTGTATACCCTGTATACCCCTATATACCTTGTGCACCCACGTTTACCCTAGTAATACTGTACACCCTGCATACCCCTATATACCTTGTGCACCCATGTTTACCCTAATAGTACTGTTTACCCTTGTAATACTGTATACCCTGTATACCCCTATACATCTTGTGTACCCATGTTTACCCTAATAGTACTGTATACCCTGTATACCCCTATATACCTTGTATACCCATGTTTACCCTAGTAATACTGTATACCCTGTATACCCCTATATATCTTGTGTACCCATGTTTACC